GGCCCGCAGTTTTCAGCCCTCCCGGATCCGTGCCGTGTGTCCCCGCTCCGGGACACGGCGGCCTCAGAGCCCCGCGGTGACTCTGCGCGGCGGCTCGTTATGGTTGCCCGGGGCTTCGGGTCGGGAGCCGTGCGACGGGGGCACTTGGCTCTCCTTGATCCCGCTGAGCTCAGAGAAGAGCTTGGAGGGCGAAGGCCTCCGAGGCCTCTCGCTGTCCCTGCCTTTCCGTTGTTGGGTGAAACAACTGCCCTATTCAAGGCTCAGCACTTACACCCAGCAGTGCATTACACCCCGAGTGCCAGTCACTGGCCCCGCTCGGCGCGTCCCAGGCACAGCTGTCAGCGTGCTGGGACAGGCAGGGCGAGCACTGGCTCTCCCCAGAGCAGGAGCTCTTTGATATAGCCATGTGTGTCTTTCTTATCCCGGATCCGACCCTGACTGACTTGTCCCTTGGCTGTTCTCATAGCCAAGGTGAGAAAATAGGTTTCTAATGTGCTGCCTGTCACAAAGGCCACCACCAAAGGTGCTCTGAAGGTCTGTGAGGTCGCCAGGAGCTTCCCTCGGTCAGGTTGCTGAGGTGCTGGGCTGCAGCTCTGGGGGACAGAAGTAGCATTTGTGTGGGCACTGCTAGAAGTGTCTTAGACTTGAATTATTGCCTAAATTTTGGCTGTGTCCCGATGAAGCCTTAAACCTACCTGGGATCAGGTAATGTAGCAATTTATTCTGCGAGGCTCCATTTCCAGCAGCAGCCGGTGCCAAATTCCTCCCCAGAGGGAGGAGGAGACACAAGTCTCTCCTGCTGGGATTGCCAGGTAACCTCTGAGATGATTCCAGCCCCTAGAGTGGAGTTTTGGGGTTTGTCTCCAGCACAGTGATGCTCAGGTAGGTCCAGCCACACTCTAAACTCTGTATATAGGGAAATGCCTTGAAATTACGTGGAGGTCAAACAGCAAAGGTGAACTCTGTACTGCCTGGGTGTTCCTGAGCTATTGAACTTCTCCCAGGGTGCCCAAGCAACTCTGAGGCTTCCAGTCCTGCTGCTTCCTTCAAAAGGCACAGGATTATTGGGATTAAGTGTCTTCCTACCCTAGAAGAGCAGCTGTGCATCTGGGGTGTGAGGCTTGCTGGGGAGATGTGCATGGGGGCAAAGTAATTGCTGGCTGGATGAGGTGGGATGTTTTCTCAGAGGGTTTGAACGCTGTCATTGGGAAGGAAATGTTTAGAATGCTGAGGTGTCCTGTACCAAACCTCCTCCCCACTCTCCAGCCCTGCTATCCCAGCTCATGGCTTTGATTTGGGTTGGATTTCTCCCAGGCAGGCTGCTGTCCGGGCACTGCAAAGATATGTGTTTACGCTGAACATCAGCCAGGTCCTGGATGAGCTGAGCTCCTGCAGCAAATGGAATGACATTCCAGCCTCTGCAGAGGAGGTGGGCAGCTGCCTGAGCCACCTCCTTGGCATGTGGAACACATCCTCCTTTCCAGAGGAGCAGAGCACCCTGAGAAACCAGGGCTGTGACCAGGGACTGGAGTTGCCAGTTTTTGAGTAAAAGCAACAATGTGTAGTGATAAGAGACACAATGATTCTGACTTTCCTTCCTCCCAGTTCTTGTGCAGTAGCCCAGCAGTGGAAAGGATGGGACTGGTTTGTGCTGACATGTCTCTTGAATTCATGGCTCATTGGGGAGGTGTCTGTACTAGAAACTGTATCAGAAAAATCTGAGCTTCCCTATTTCCTGCACGTGTTCTGCCCTTGCCTCGGGCTACAGGGACTGCTGTCATCACTGACTGCCCTATTGCCATGGAGAGGAGTGTGTCACGCTGAGCCTCTGCTGCACAGTTGCAGATACAAGTCCCAGAGTGCATCAAAGACCTTAAATGCCCGTTTGTGTGCTGAACCCTGCTCTCCTCAGCAGACAGTGCTCCTGGGGCAGCCATTCCCCCTTCTCATCAGCTGTGCTGCTACAGCACCAGTAACAGGGTTGGGTAAAGGCTTCTGAGACCCCAGGAGCTCCCCCTGTGTGGTGTGGGGAGCAGAGTTCCCATGTGAGGGAGCGCTGCTGAACACCAGTGTGCCCGAGGCACGGGAGGGGAGGCTCTGAGGAGTGAGCAGAGGTGTCTTGTACAACGATGATCTCAGGGCCATGTGCATGTGGCCACTGGGAGCCTTGAGCCACTGCTGCTGTTAACCATGGTTTTCTGAGCCTGATGTGGTGTGTTCCTTTAGGCTGGGTTTGATGTCAGCCTTCAGGCCTCTCCCAAGGGATGAGTGGTGCTGAAGTGCTCTGTAGCTCTGCTCTCCCCTGCTGCTTTGTACCGGGGGCTGTTGCAGGTGTGTGGGGACAGCACACCCTACCTCCAGGCCTCTGGCTTTCTGGGGCTGTAGGATGAGCTGGAACTCGTTTGTCCAGTTTCATTTTGGAATCTGCATCTCTTGAGAAGGTCTGGCCTGCCATAAGCCGAGCAGGAGAGATGATCTGCACTGGCAGAGGTGAGTGGGCTGTGCCCCCGTGCCCATGAAGGCTCCTGGTTGAGCTCAAGTGGGTGATTTGCCTCTGCTTTGGTTTCCCTTCCCCACAGTGGGCATCTCCCAGTGTTTGAAGGTGGAGCTGTGTGAGGAGCGAAGATGAGTCCAGTGTGCTGAGCTGATGTGAGCATGTGTGCTCTCTAGGGAGTGATCACATGGACAGTACAGCACCTGAAGGTGGTTTCCTCACCTATCTTGAGCCCATGTGCTGGTGTTCCCACCTGCCCTGCCCTTCCCCATCCTGGGGTGGGAAGACTTCACCCTGCCAAGTCCTGCAGGATGCAGCCCCCTGAAGTGGGGGAGCACGAGGATGGCTCTCTTAGAGTGAGGCTTTCCAAAGAGCCAGCAGCAGCTTAGCCCCTTGCTCCTCTGCCAAGGCTGCCTCTAAGGTGGTGGTGCTGCTCTGCACAAAGCTGATTACAGGCTCACTTTGTAAATGAGGTGCCTGGATTTCTGTGCTCAGCCAGTGTAAGCGATACCTGCCTGGTACGGGCTCTCCAGGCTGGTTTTGTGTGGAGCCTGGGGGTTTCCTCCTTGTTTACCCCAACTGCATGGTGAGGGGGAGTAGTCACGAGGTGTGATGTGCTGATCCAATGAGTGAGCCATTGTTCCTGCTTCTGGGTAAGTCTTGTGCATCCTGGTACGTCCAAGGAGATTCTGTTTCCTTTTTCAAAAGAGGAGGGGAAACTCATTGCTTGTGGGGTTTGAAGTAAACCCTGGCAGGCAGGAGAGGAGGCTGTGAGTGGGAACAGGAGCAGTGAAATCTGCCCTTGCTTTGGAAGTTCCTATATTGTGTCGCAGGGAATGTTCTTGTTTCCCCTGTGAGCTGCCTGACTTCAGAGCTCAGCTGGCCTAATTCCCCACTGCTTTCTTCCAGGGAAGCTCTGTGCTGCTGTGGAAATGGAGCTTGTTCTTCTTCCTGAGTGAAGGGGAGGTGCTTCCCTTTCCTGTGACTCTGCTCTGAGCAGCACATTGGGTGAAATATTTGGTGGCACCGGGGGAGAGCTGCTTGCTCACGATTTCGGTGCAGGTTCCCAGCTCGGAGCTCTCGCCTTCAGCCAGGAGCCACCCTGAAGTGGGAAACCAAATGCAGGCTGCTCGCTGTGTTGTAGGTTTCTGAGGTTGATATTTAGTGAGCTGGGTGTCAGTGTTGAGGTTCTCCTGGGGGGGCTGAACTGAACAAACAAATGTGCTTCCTTGGAAGCGCCTGGCGTTCGGTGGAAACGGCCGGCGGCTGTTCCTCACCCCCTGCCTGGGGGGCAGCCCAGAGGCTCCTTGCTAGACAACATTTCACACCCATCCCTTTGCTAAGGCAGCTTCCCCCAAAAACCCCTTCCTGATTTTGCCTTTCAGACGGATCCCCAGCACTGAGCAGCAATGCCATCGGCCATGGAGGGCCCGGAGGCGGGAGAAGACGCGGATGTCTCGCGCTACGAGGAGACAGAAGACAACAATGTCAGGTGAGTCCTGTCCTACGCTATTGCACAGACACAGCCCTGGGCAAGGCAGGAGACCTGCCAGGTCGAGGAGTGATCCTTCTCCTCATCTGAAAGAAGTGAGAGACACCAGCAGATGACTAATCAACTACATGTGCAGTAAAATCTGTTTAATCAAACTACTGGAAGGGATGGGAAGGAGCAATCTGGCAGGGCTGACAACACAGTTATTTTTTTAGCTGCCACTATCAAACTGACATTCCACAAACACTTTGACCATTTGGTGGTTGTGTTTCTGCCTTCCTGGCCAAGGAAGCCTGTTTTCCATGGCTCGCTGGGCAGGCTCATGTGATAGCAGCTTCTTGTTTTGAAAGGTGACTCTAGAGGTGAACTCCACTCTGGACAGCTGCCTTTCTTGCTTTGCAGAATACCCACAGGTCCAGGCAAGAACATTTTTTAGGAGGTTAGTTCCAAAACCAAATTCACAAAATGCTCTAAACCCCAAGGATTCAGACCTGGAAAATGGGAAGAATATAGGGTGCTTCCCAGAAGACGTAGATAGGCTGGTCAGCTTCTTTGACTTGACAGGCTCAGCTTCATAAGAAGTTAATGTTTCCTGGCTCTCCTGGCACACTCAGTGGGTCTGGGGTGTCCAAAGTCTCTCTTCCAGCTAACAGGAACGTGCTACCTGTAGCAAACTAGTCATAAAAACCACAAGGTGCACTTTGGCATGATTTGAGTGAGAGTAGTGTTGATACTGTACCACCCTCCAGGTAAGTGCAGTGGCTGTAACTACAAATCATAGATTTTAATGAGGTTTTTTTAGAAATTCACCATGTGGAAACCTGCAAAACCAGTGTAATTCAGGAGAAATAAACTTTTTAAGGGTATTCTTGCCCTGCTTCCTCCTGCTGGTGCCAGTTCAACCTGGGGAGTGGCCTGAAGGTCCCACCTTGTACCTTCTTCAATCTGGGCCTGAGATGTTAGGGATTGAAGGGGATCCCTGCAAACACAGCAGGGACAAAAACTCGCAGCTGTGTGTGGGGTAAAAGGAGCTCTCCCTGTCCCCTGCAGCCCCACAGACCTGTCAGAGCTGCTGAAGGAGGGCACTAAGGAATCCCACGACCGTGCCGAGAACACCCAGTTTGTCAAGGACTTCCTGAAAGGACGGATCAGGAAGGAGCTCTTCAAGGTGGGTGTTGTTCTGCTCCTGATCCCTTTGATGTGATGCTGACTTGGAGGCAGAGCCCCACAGCCCTGGAGGGTGTTATGGGGGTAGATAGAGCAGAGCCTCTGCTCCTTCAAGCAATACCTGCCTAGTATGAGCTCTCCAGGTGGGTTTTGTGTTGAGCCTGGGGCGTTTCCTCCTTGTTTACCCCAATTCCAAGCAGGGAGGAGCAGTCCTGAGGTGTAATGTGCTGATCCAGGGACTGGCTTCTCAGGTGAGCTGTGCTTTGTCCATAGCTGGCCACAGTGGCCCTGCACTTCACCTACTCTGCCCTGGAGGAGGAGATGGATCGCAACAAGGACAACCCGGTCTTTGCTCCTCTCTATTTCCCTGTGGAGCTTCACCGGAGGGAAGCACTGGCTAAAGACCTTAAATATTTCTATGGAGAAGACTGGAAAGAGAAGATCCAGTGTTCAGAGGCAACTCAGCAATATGTGGACAGAATCCATCATGTGGGACAGCACGAGCCAGAGCTGCTGGTGGCTCACGCTTACACCCGCTACATGGGGGACCTCTCAGGTGGCCAGGTGCTGAAGAAGGTGGCCCAGAGGGCCCTAAAGTTGCCCAGTACTGGGGAAGGGATCCAGTTCTACGTGTTTGAGAACGTTTCCAATGCACAGCAGTTCAAGCAGCTTTACAGAGCAAGGATGAATGCTCTGGACTTGGACAAGAACACCAAGGAAAGGATCGTGGAAGAGGCCAACAGAGCCTTCAGATTTAACATGCAGGTACTGAACAAATCCCTTGAGCTCCTGTGTGTGCAGATGCTGCTGCTGCTTTTGGGTCTGATCCAGGTTAATTCAGTCAGACTGCTCACCCAGGCAGTGGTTTGGGGCTGAGACCACCATAGCCCCTCTGTCTTGTGGGGTTGGGATTCTACTCTAAATAGCTTCTCCATTAGCTTCTGGAGCTGGTGTTGGGCAGGAATTCCTCCTGTGCTCCAACACCACAACTGGGCCTTTGACTGGGGCAAAATTAATATGACTTCAAGATTCCTGTGGGCTGTGTGGCCCTGAAGCAGTAAGGGGAACAAAGCTGTTGCTCTGAGACAGCCTCAAACAGTTTAAGTGTGTTACACCGCCCTGGTGACAGTCATCTCCTGTCTCAGGTCTGACATGTTGCCCTATGGCCAAAAATGTCTGGAGCCTCTTGTTCCTCCCATAGCATTTGTCTTTCATCAAACCTGACTGAGCTGCCACTTGCCCCAGGGGGATGAACACAGTTTTAGCTACTGGATGGGAGCTTTAATCTCTGCTTGTAGCTGGTTGGTGTGGTTTAAACTGGTCGGGAATGTGTTGGGATGTGGTTGAGTCCTTCATCAGGATTCTTATGGAATCCTCTGGCAACAGAGCTGGAGGGGCTGGCTGGCCACTGCAGGAGCAGGGATCCTCTGACAGTGTGCAGTTGGCTCACACTCCCACCTGCAGCAGGATGGGAGGGGAGCAGCAGGGTGGTCCTGCCTTCTCCTGGCTCTGACTGGATGCTTTTGGGATGGGCTGTTCCTTCCTGGAGCTGTAACACGTGCCAGGTGCCACCACAGGTTTGCAGCGAGGTGCCCCCAAAGGAGTCCCGGGGGGAGGGAGGCAGGAGTGGTGCTTGCCTGTTCTCCAGATGATTCCAGGACTCTGGATGAGCTGTGCCTGCCTCACGTGCTCGCTGTGGCCACTTGCAGGTGTTTGACGAGCTGGACAAGATCGGCAGGTCGCTGCCAGAAGAAGCCCAAGACGGAGGGTTTCCAGTGCACGACGGAAAAGGAGACATCCGCAAATGCCCCTACTACGCAGACAAACTGGGTAGGTGGGGGCAGGGAGAGCTGCCACACGTGTGTGGCACGAGCCTGGCAGCGCTAACAGTGTTTTCTGTGTCCTGGCAGGCACGGCAGGGCCCGGCTGCCCCTTCCACGCCGCGGTGGGTCTGGCCAGGCAGCCCCTCGTGCAGCTGGTGCTGGCAGCCTGCGTGGCAGTGGCAGCAGGAGCTGCAGCCTGGTACATCCTGTGACTGGCACGGCGTGGGGGCAAGGAGAGAGACGTGCCCTGTCCGTTTTCAGACCCTTCCCTTGCTGGTGGTGAGTTGGCTGCAGAGTTGGAGTGAGGAAGTAAACGGGAATCCTGCGGGACTGTCCAAGCCTCCTTGCACACCGCTGTAATGGGATGTCTTTAGCTGACTAGTGCCCAGGACTGGTCGGTGTGAGGGGGTGAGGATTCCACTGCAGCACTGCCCTGCCCTGCCCAGGCTGGGGCAGCTTTTAAGGCTAAAGATGTCCTGTCCTGTCCTGGCAAAGGCTTCACGTGCTTGGCTTTTCATCTCCATCCCCAGAGCAGTGTCCGGAGGGGGTTTCCTGCCCTGGGCTGCATCCCCAGAATGTGTCATCAGCCTCTTCAGCAAAGAGCACTTGCTTTCCCACCCTGAGAAGCTGAGGCTGTGCTGTGGGGCTGTTACCTCAAAGGAGAGTCCTGTTGGGTGTGCTGTCCCAAGGACCTGGTCTGACTCCTGTTGGAGGGAGCACCCTGGGGATGGGGACAGGACTGTGAGGGGGTATGGAGGTGACAGATGTGTATTGTGCAACTTTGGGGTTGAGGGTTGGTTGTTGGTTATTTTTCCTGAAGCCTTGACTGAAATAAAAAGTTGCAATGCTATAGCTGGGGAAAGCCAGAATCAAGTCACTGGGAGAACAGGAGAGGCTGGGGAGGGGATTAAGGGGGATTAAGTATAACAAGCACTGTTGTACTTGTCTCTGACTCAGGCAGTCCCTGAGAAACTCCTGCTCTTGCACCCCCCTGTCCCTGCTGCCTCCCCTGGGGTTTCCCCCAGTTCCTGGTGAGAGGGTTCCTGGTGGGGTAGGGAAGCTGCTGCTCTTCTTCCTTGTCCTCAGCTCCCCTGCAGGCAGATCTGCTCTGGATTTTGATCAGGAGAGAAGAAAAGATGTACACGAGTTCAGGGTCTGTTATTTATTTACATAAAAACACTGACTATTGCCACAGTTCCACCCCTGGGCAAACAGCAGCTGCCTGTGCAGGCTGGGCCGTGTTTGCAGACCTGGGTACCAAGAGACCTGCCCCTACTCTGCTCGGGGGGCTGCAGGGGCAGGGCAGGAGCAGCCCCCAGAGGCTGACCACGGCTCCCAGGTCCTCTTGCCCGTGCCTGTGAGGGTGCTGCTGGCAGCTCCTGTCGCTGCCTGCTTGCCCCCTTCCTTCTGCCCCACTGAAGTGAGCTAAAAATACTCCCTACACCCACATGCAAGGAGGACCCCGCAGGGCAGTGCGGGGTGGAGCCCGCAGACCCCGCCGGGCTCAGGGCGGGGCTCCGGAGCTGCGGCCTGGTAACAAACTCCTCTACTCTACGTGCCGGGCAGGCAGCGACATGCCGGGTGTGGTTTTGGCTGCCGGGGGCTGTCCCTGCCCCGGGGCGGGCGGGGCTGGGAGGGGGCACATGCAGCTGGAGCGGCCACAGGGACAGGACGGAGGTGCTGATCAAGGGTGCAGTGCTGCTGCCAGTCCCCTCTCCGTGCTCAAAGGCAGCTCTGCCTCTCCTCGGGAAGGGGCTTTGCCGACGGGCTGGAGGGGGCCGAGACACACCCTGAAACCCGGTGTGTGGCACCACCCTCTGAGCCCCTTCCTAAAAGTGCCACCAGGGCTGTGCTGTATCCCCTGAGTGTGCCGTGGGCTGCTCGGGTACCCCCCTTCCCTCCTGGGCTCCCTGTGGCTGCAGCACATCCCAGCAGCCAGGCACCCCCTGTGCTGTGGGACGGGGGTGAGCCCCTCCAGCACTGGGGTTACTCCAGGGGAGATGGGCCTCACTCACACCCCGGAGCGTAGAGGGGTGCAGAGCGATGCCCCCACTCCTGCAGGGCACCTCCCACAGCATCCGGGGCCTGGGCCCACCTCCCCTGTGTGCCAGCATCGCCAATCCAGCTGTTCCCAGTGAGGGCCAGAGCTCGGGGCAGGTGGTGGCAGCTCTGAGCGGGAGGGAGCCGGGGGTAACACACACACACCGCCGGCGGGAAGCGAAGGAGGGATGCGCACGCGGAGACTCGGACGGCAGCGGGACGGGGCCGGTGTCATTCCAGTGGCTCCCAGGGCGCTGTTAGCACATGCGCTTGTACGTGTAGATGTAGGCCTTGCAGTTGGGACACGTGTGGGTCACATCCTTGAAGTCATCGAACAGGCAGGGGATCAGGCAGCAGCAGAGATCACACCTGGAGCACAGGAAGGGAAGAGGGAGAGAGCGGTGAGCTCAGGCAGCCCCTGGACACTGGGGGCACGGGCAAGAGACATGAGTAAGTGTAGGGGCTGTCACCCCCAGAACCTCTCTGCTGCCCCAGTTCCACGTTGAGACCCCAGCCCTGCCCAGCAGCTCAGCCAAGGCCCCCAGCACTGGGGCTACCAGGACCAGGGCTGAGTGCCCACCGCGAGGGCCCAGCTCCCCCTGCAGCACCTACCCCATGAAGCAGCAGAAGAAGCCAAGGAGGAAGCTCATGAGCCCAATCTCGTAGGAGATCTTGGTGGTGATGGCTTGCTGGCAGTGGGGACACACTGTCTGCACAGGGGCACCCTGGAAGATCTCTCCCTGCAGCACCGTCACTGTGGTGGCAGCTCCCGGTGGGACGAGCACCGTCGCCGTGTGGCCACCAGGAGAGGGGTAGTGGCCTGGGGCAGGGTAGTAGCCCATGGGGGGGTGAGGGCCTGGGGGTGGGTAGAACCCTGCTGTGAATGAGAAACATGCACAGGTGAGCATCTTTATACGTGGCTGGAGAGGCAGATCCTCACTGGGGAGGTCCCCATCCTGCTGCCCCCCCACCACCGGGGGTACAGTCCTGGGGCCAACCCTGCTGCAGGCACTGTGTCCCCCACCCCATCCCAGGAGCCTCGCTGCAAGCCCCAAATGGCAGCTCCAGCCCCTCCTTGTGTCCCCCCCATTCCCCAGAAGTCACGTGCTGCCACCCATCCCCAGCCCCTCCCAGGACTCACCCGGAGGCACGTAGGGCCCGGAGCCATCCGTGGGCATGTGGGGGGGCACAAACCCCGGCTGAGAGGGCGGCTCATACGGGGGGGGCCCGAACTCGGGAGGGGGGATGGGAACCCCCTGGGGCTGTCCCACGACTGGGGTGACACCCTCTGAAAGGAAACACAGAGTCAGCAGCCAGGGAGGCAGCAGAGCTGATGGGGAGATGGTGGCTTGGCTGTGTGGTCAGAGGGTTGGTCCCAGCAGGGAAGGGGGACACATGAGGTGGGGGGCACTGCCTTAAGCCTCATCCTCTGGGCCACATGAAGCCCAAATTCACCCCACCTCACCCACAGCAGCAAGCAGAGCCACACTTTGAGCTGGGAGTGCTTCCTGCTCTCGTTGCTGCCCCCGTGACCTCTCCTGCCTTCTCTGAGGGTGACATGGGGACAGATGGAGCTGGGCATTGCACCACCCTCCCCAGCACGCTGTGCATGGCAGGGCAGAGCTGCCAGCAAAAGCCACAGCCAGGGCACTCCCAGGGAATCCACACTTGCTTGGCTCCTGTCTGCTGGACAATGTCAGCACAACACCCCTGAGCAGCCGGGACCACCCCCCTGTACCTGGTGCAGAGGGGGGGCCGTGCTTCTCCTCTATCAGCGGTGCCGAGGGGCCCCCCGGGTAGGGTGGCGGTGGGTCGTTGGACATGGCTCAGGGTGGCCCTGCAGGGACAGAAACCTTTAGAAAACACCAGCCTTTGATGCCACAGGCACCTGCCCGGAGGTGCACAGCACTTGGGGAAGGAGGTGACAACAGAAAGGGACAGGGCTGGTGCCACCACTGCACTTGCCTCAGCACCCACCCTGGGCAGAACCAGGGGTGCAGCCCCAAAGCTGGACAGGCTGTGACCAGGCAGCAAATACAGGGTGTAACCCCTTCCTGCTGGCTCTGCAGGGCTTCCCTGCATGGCCCACACCTGACGAACTGCAGCTCATCAGGGCACCTCTGGGCTGTGTGGCCACAGGGCAGTGCTGGGCTGGAACCTGCTCTGCCAAGTGCCTTGGCTGTGGTGCGGTGGTACCAAAGGTGGGGAAGAGCTGCCAACGCTGCCCACAGCCCCCCAAATCCACCCACAGTGACACCCAATGCTGTGCCCCGAGCGTGACAGGACCCCTGAGCCTGAAGTGCAAACACCAAGGCAGAGGCTGCAAACTCACAGAGCAGCTCTAAGTAAATCTGTAAATAAATCCAGTGAGCTAAGGTAAGACCAGCTTCAACAGCTGGGGCCACTGTTTTACATGGGGTACTATTCACCTGTCCTCTCCCTCGCAGCGAGAGCTCAGAGGCCTCAACAGAGCTGAGAGAAGCAATTCCTTTGAGTGGTGTAGTTTGGGAGCTGGCTTCTCCCACCAAATCTCTGCAAAAGGAGAGAAGGAGTTACAGAGATGGAGAGGAGTCACAGCTGCAGTGCTGCCCTGGCCACCACCCCAAACCCCCTCCTGGCCCCGGTGCAGGTACCTCCCCACGTGCCCCCTCGATGGCAGGTACGAGGCTCTGTGTCCTCAGCACGTGGCAAAGCCCCCCCAACACACTCTGAGATCCAAGGAAGAGCAACAACATCAAGAAGCCTGATTTCTCTGTTTTCTCTGGCTCAGTTATAACGTGAGTAAATTGGGAAATACAAATGAGAGGCTGCTCCCTCGGTGCTTGGGATGGCTGCCATCAGGATGGGGCAGGGTGACACTGCTGTCAGTGCCCAGGAGCAGAGCCGGGAGCTCCCCTTGTGGGCTGAGCCCTCCCTGAGCCCTCCATCCTTCACCCCAACAGGCCAGAAGCAAATGTGACCCTGCTTGTCCTGTTTGCTGGCACCAGTGCCACGTGCTGGGCAGCCCGCCCGGAGCACGCCAACCTCCCCGGCACGGCACAGCATGGCACAACCTCCCCGGGCACCAGGCCAGGCAGCCAGTGCTGCCCCAGCCCTGCATTGCAGGGGTGCCCAGAGAGGAGCCTGAGGGGCACAGCCACCTCCACCTGCAGCTCCTGGGTCAAGTGGAGCCAAGGCTTTGGCAAGCACGGAAGGGAGATCCATCCCTCCCTCCCTCACCTGCTTGGCTTTGCTTTATTCCACTCCTTTTTCCTAGTTCACATTCCCTGCCCCCCCAGCAGCCTCCTGCAAGGCAGCAGGAAATCTATCAGGTCACCAGTCCATGGGGCACCATCACCTGTTGCTGCTCAGGAGGAGCACACTGATCCCCCCAGGAGCTGAGCAAATTCCCGACAGGCACAGGGCCTGCCCTGGATGTCCACATTTACTGACTAATATTTCTCCCCCGAGGTCTGAAACTGTGTGTTGCAACCAGGCAGTTTCAAAGTGCAACAGCGGGGCAGCTGGGGGTCATCTTCCATCCTGCTCCTCTCTCCAATTCCTTCCTCAGAAGCCCGGGGAAGGAGAGCTGCCACAGCACAGGGCGCTCCCCAGCACACTGCAGAGCCTGCCTTCTCCTTCAGTGACCTACAAAGCTGCAAACTGGGCCGTGCTCCTTTTAGCTCACTGGGGATGGGAAGATGAGAAGGACTTAGTCTTCTGAAAGTAGCCAAACACCCCACCCTGCACACCCTGTCCCTGTGCCTGCAGGGGTCCTGGATGAGACCTTACCTGGGGACACCAGCCTGCCAGGGAGCTTTCCTTGCCCCCACAGGCCAGCTGAGCCCACAGCTTTTCTAACCTAACAGATCTCCTCCCATTCCCACTCGGATGCTGCTTTCCCATAATGTAACATCTTTCAACACTCCCCAGCCTCAGTCCCCCCACCAAAGAGCTGGAAAGAAAACACAGGAGAGGAGGAGACCCACCCACGTGCTCCACCAGCCACTCTAAAAACACCCTTCAGATGAAGCAGCAGCCCCAGACCAAGCCAGCCATTAATCCTGCCACCCTGACCAGCAGGGAATGGCATCCACAAGAGCAACGGCCTGTGGATCCCAGAGCCACACGTGCACTGGGATGAAGGAAGCTGAGGGATGCAGGGCTGTTCTGCTCATTCTTGGCAGGCTCAGTCGCTCCTACTGCAATATTCTGCTTATTAAAAGAGATCTGTAAAGAGCAAGATGTTGGCCGTGTGCCCTTCCCAGGAGGAAAAGAAAAGCCTGTTGCTTTTAAGCCTCTTAGAAGCTGTTTCTCCTGTGCTTTCTTTCATCTTAATGCGAGCAGCACAAACCCAGCCCATTTCCGACGGAGAACTCCGTGGGAAACCGCAGGGCACACGGCTTCCCCAGGGCATCCCTCACCACCCTGGCACGGACAGCCCTGCAGCATTCCAAGATTACCAACCTCAAGTTCAAGATCTGATGAAATCACCAACGTCTAGAGCAGGTCCTTCAGAGCAAGGACACACTGCGAGATCCTAAAACTCAAAAGGAGTTGGATACCAGTAGGAGGATGGAGAGAGAAGATGCTGTTTCCAGCTAAAAATACAGATTAGCTCTTCTCAGCTGCAAGAGCAGCTTTTAGTGGCTCCTCTACTGCAAACTAACTACAGAGGATAAATCCACCACGGAATCACTGGAAACACAGCTCCTGCTAAAAGCAGAAGACACACAAAGGGCCCCCACAGGCTGCAGATTTGCTACAGAAAATGAAAGGATTCCCATTAACCTGCTGGGGCACAGCACTGACAGACACAGCCAGGACAGCACAGCTCCATCAGGGCCCCAAAGCAGAAAGGGCTTGTCCCACTTGGCTGTGGCCTCAAACTCTGTGTTCTCCCCTGGCTCTGGGCTCCCTAATCAACCCAGGGTCTCGTTCCAGGCAGCTTTTGGGTGAGGAGAAGAACAAATCTCTAGATCCCTCCAGACTGGGGCACAACTCCCAACCCCAAGAGATGTGTCTGAGCTTTCTCTACACAGTGAGCACAGTCAAAGAGCTGGTGAGGAAACATGAGGCTTTCTAATCAGCTTCTTCCTGTGCACAGCAACTCTGAATCTAGTTAATGAGGGATTACAGAATCCTAGAATGGTTTGGGTTGGTAGGGATCTTAAAGCTCATCTCATTCCAACCCCTGCCATGGGCAGGGACACCTTCCACTAGCCCAGGCTGCTCCAAGCCCTGTTCAACCTGGCCTTGGACATTTCCAGGGATGGGGCAGCCATCCCACCTGTGCCAGGGCCTCACCACCCTCACAGGGAGCAATTTCTTTCCAGTATCCCATCTAACCCTGCCCTCTGTCAGTGTGAAGCCATTCCCTGTGTCCTGTCACTCCAGGCCCTTGTCCAAAGGGCACTGATTGATACCCCAAAGCTCCTGGTTCCCATTACTGACACATCCAAAACTGGTGACACAAAGCTCTCCCTGCTGCTTCCAGCAGTGATGAGAGGAGCTGGTGTGTCAGGGTCCAGTGTCCCCTGCTGGCTGCACTTCCCTGTGTTACATCACTGTGGAAACAGTCTGGGATTCAAACATGACAAGAGGAAAGGTCTGTCCATCCGACTTGGTCTCCAGACAGGTACAATGGGCAAACTTCCCAAAACCAAGTGGTGTGCAGTGGGATCAGGGAACACTGTGCCACCAGAACGGGTCCTAGCACCATAAAATAGACAATGCCACGAAGAGAACACCCACAGATCATTCCTGCACTGCTTGGAGACCCAAAGATTTGGCCTGGTAACACCATTCTTCCCAGGCAGCAGCTGTTTGTGCTTCAGGCTGCCGAAATCTCCCCGGGTGAGACGGACCTGCCAAGGACGGAGCAGATGCCTGCAGGTCTAACTCACGTGCGAGCCCCGATGGTGCAGCTCTGAGTCAGCCTCACAGCTGAGATCCCCTCCCACGAGCAGAGACACTCAGTGCTGTCCCTGCTCCTCCTGCACTTGCTAACTCAGCCCCACAGTGATCTGGCTGTGTTTTCCCTCTGGGAGCAGTGTCTCCAGCCACCGAGACAGGAAGCAGCGTTTGTTCATCCTTGACCACGTTCAGTGACGTTGCCACTTCAAAAGCTGCCACTGCTCATTTTTGGAGCTCTTCCTCCCCTCCACCCCCCCCAAAAAAATAACTTCTGATATTTAGGAAAGGAGAAAAACACACTAAAATTCAATGAATAAAGGATATGAGCACTTTCAGCTTCACAGCACATCAAGCAGACACAGATTCCAGCTTCCAGGCTTTTGTAAATACAGCTTTAAAAAGCCAAGAGTTCTGAAGATGATGGGCTCCCTCACTGAGCCCAGCCTCCTTCCTTTAGAAACAGGAACAGCATTTTGGCCAACACTATCCTAGCTTCCCTGGCCCCAGGAAAAGCTACCTGTGTGCCACAGGCTACCGGCTCCAGAAATTGGGAAATACTGAGACTAGGAAGGCAGAGAGGTGTGCAAGGTGTGAGCACAAAAGGCAGAGCAGGATGCTGGCAAAATTTCATTTGATGAAAGCCAGTTATCCTTCAAAGTGGCTTTAGAGGCAGAAAGGAGAGAGAACCCTGATCCTGGCAATCTCAGCCTCCTTCCTCCACAACAGCATTTCTGAGCAGCACCTCCAAAGCCAGCCTGGAGCTGTGTGTTCCTTGTGTTACCTGTGCCCAGAGCACACCGGGATGTTCCCTTTTCCACGCCCCATTCCCTGTGTTCCCTGTGCCCAGAGCACACCAGGATGTTCCCTTTTCCATTCCCTGTGTTCCCTGTGCCCAGGGCACACCGGGATGTTCCCATTTCCACGCCCCATTCCCTGTGTTCCCTGTGCCCAGGGCACACCGGGATGTTCCCTTTTTCCACGCCCCATTCCCTGTGTTCCCTGTGCCCAGAGCACACCAAGATGTTCCCTTTTTCCACGCCCCATTCCCTGTGTTCCCTGTGCCCAGGGCACACCGGGATGTTCCCTCTCCTGTTCCCACACAGCTCACCGGGGTGTGGCTCAGCTCCCACTGCTCCTGAACACACCACACACAATCCCACCGGACAGCTCTTACCTTCAAGAGAAAGACAGCAACAACCCCTGCTGAACAAGCAGTATCAGTGGTTACTTCTGCCTGGTTTTTATGTGGAACAGCAAAAAGATGTTTTCCCTGTCAGGGAGCCAAACTTCCCCCTCAGCCCTGCCTCTTCCCATGCGCATTTGCTGCCTCCAGGCTGCACCGGAGCCAGGAGGGAAGGAATGAACAGCACACAGAGCTTCAGCCTCCTTCAGAAAGAGGGTGCCCTGGCAATCCCTGACCATGTACCCACTCCTTTACCCCACCATTCACCCTGGCAGCACCTCCTCAGCTCCTCCTCCTGGTCCTGGGCACAGCAGCAGGAGGGCACATGCCTGCAACGCTCCGCAAGGCGCGATGGAAACGGAAACCTGAGCGAAGGACTACAGGGAAGGTCTGTTCTTTTTTTGAGCAACTCAGCTGTGTTTTCCCAAGTCCAAGTCACTGCCAGGGAGTGCAAACCCACTGTGCAGGAACAGCCAGGCTGCTCCCAGATTTCTCCCACACTTCTGCACTAAGATTTCAGCTGTGGAAAACTGCTGCTTCCAGGAGGCTCAGGCTGTTCCTTCGGTGTGGGGATGGAGAGCTCAGCTGGCAAGGCAGGACAGCAGCAGTCCTTTAAAACAAAGGGCTGCTGGAGGAGAAGGTTATTCACCATTCAGTCCAGGTATGTCAGACAACCAAAGCTCCCTGCTCTGCTCTCCAGTGTGTGAACCTCCAGAGGAGCATCCCCATTGCAGTCGTTTACCTGGGAACCTTGGACAGGTTTGACCTTCTGTGTGCCACCACCACCCAGCAGGCAAATGACCTCAGAGCAGGATCCTCGCTGGAAGCCAGGTGCTGTATCCAAAGCAAGATTTCTCAGGGCATTAAATCCAAAGCACAATCAGATAATCTCCACGGCGCAGCCCCGGCTCAGCCGCCCTCGGCCAGAGATTCAAATTACTGCTCCCTCACATAGCTCCTCTGCATCAACATCAGGAAAACCTGACCCAAAATCCCCCCTGCTTAAGACAAGGAGGGTTTATCTCCAACACCCACAAAGGGTTACGTGCAGGAGGAGTATCTGCAGGACCTGCTGCTGCCTCTGGGATTCTCTCCAGGGCTATTCCCCTCTGGATGGGCTGACCAAGAGCTGTTGGCATCTCCACAGTGGGGCTGCAGAAACAGCCTTGCCAGGACCTGGGTCACCTGAACATTTAAAGAAAAAACAGCCAAAATGAAAAGAACAACTGGGGTAGTTCTTTCTCTCTCTTGTGGGCTCCCAAGCCGTGGCACTCGGCTGTGGGAGACACTACATGCCAGCAGAGACATCCCAAAGGAGCCAAGACATCCCAACAGTGACCAGTGAGGACAGGCCATAGAATCACAGAATCGTAGAATTGTCAAGGCTGGAAGAGATCTCTAAGATGATCCAGTCCAGTCATCCACCCAGCACTACCACTGTATCCCTTAAACCACTAAACCATGACCCCACTCTTCAAAGCTTACACATGCAGAGGCACTGGGGAAGGCTCAGCTGTGCACAGAACTCTCTGCACCACCAGGGCAGCTGAACTTGGCTCCCAAAGCCGGTTCCCTGAACACAGAACAA